GGAAGTAGATTGCCCCATCTTCCTTCCGAGGAGTGGCTGGTGGGTTTGAACTGCCAGCCTTCTGTTTAGCAGTCAAGTGCTTTAGGCACTATGCTACCAGAGCTCTTATCTACTTTATTAGACATAAGGAATAATTTTACTTAGAATTCTCAGTTTTTCCATTTCAAATCCAAGGTATAGAATGTGATAATGAGCTACTTTTGTGAGCTGACTGATAAGAAACATCAAGACAGAATTTTCCTTTCAAGTTTTCCATTCAGTCTTAGAGTGACTAAAGTGATGAAAAATTCCAACGTTGCATGTCTGGCTCAGAATACCCCAGAAGAACCACCCATGAGTGTTACTTAAGGTCTTATGGGTCAAACACACCAATGGCGTTTTAAGTACAAGTGGCACGTTTGAAAGGTGAAAAGGCAGGTAGCAAATCTGCAGCTCCTGGAGTTCAGCGCCACCCGCATCTCTTACCCTCGTCTTGTGTTTGTCACACAGCCTTGCTCCTCAACCTCTTGTTGAAAATGGAAAAGATGCTGTTGGGTTGCTGGCTGCTGATCCTTGGACCAGTCCTTCTCCTCCCTGCTGGGGCCCGGGAGCGGCCACACTTGAGATCCATCTCTAGAGGCAGACACACTCGGACCCATCCCCAAAAGACCCTCTTGGGTGAGTGATGAGGGCTTCACCTGCAGAAGCCGACAGGATGAGGTGGTTAAAGGAGGACCTCAGAAGACCAGGGATGATGCCAGGAGGGGGAGTGCTCCCATTCCTGGGTCCTCAGCTGGCTGTGCCGGGGTGAGGAGTATCATTGGCAATGAGTGCATCCTGAGTTGAAGATGTGCTTGTACATGGGTTTTCAAAATGAAATTAAACCTCTTTTCTTTTAAAGCCTTCAGTTTAAACGGAAGCTCACAACTTTTCTCCAATGTGCAGGAGGGCAAGATTTTCATCTGTAAAGGCCCTTGTTGGATTTATCCGGGCAAGGGTGTTACGAGAATTTTTTTATTGGATTTGTTCAGCTGAATCCATGTTAATAATGGTTTCCCGGATGGCAGGTTGAGAAAAAGAGCAAGCAGGTTTATGCAGGGTGGGTGAGAAGGGTGTGTGTGTGTGTGGGGGGGGGTGCAGTCATGGAAGAGAGGTGAGGACAGTATGAACTGAATCAAGATATTAAGAATGGAAAATGCTAGGGGTCTATTATTTTGACTCACTGAACATATTTTCTTTAGGTGAATTTTTTTCCTTCCTCTCCTCTGAGAGAAGTGAAATGCCGTGAAAACACACAGAATATAGATAAATTGGTTTACTTCTAAATATGGGCTCTGGTAAGCCTAGGCTGAGGAAGTAATGGGGAGGTTGACCAATGGGAAGAGAATGGCTTTTGCCATAGACCTGGGTTCAAGTCCTAGCTCTGTTACTTACCAGATGTGTGTAGTTAGGCAATTTAACCTCTGTGAAGTGCACTTGCCTTATTTATAAAAGGTGAATGTTAATATCCACCTTGAAATGTTTTTTTTTTTTTGAGGAATAAATGAGGTGAGATACACACACACACACACACACATATATAGCAGGTATGCAATACATGATAGTCTTTACCACAACATCCTTCCAGAAAGTTGTTTCTTTGAAATTGTAATTTCCATTGGTATCTTGTTGACTAATGGTTAGACTCTGACCACCTAGGAAGGCCACTAAGAGAACTTTCCAGTCATGGGGTAGTCTCAACTTTTGAAATTACACTTAAGATATAAGGCTACCCAAAGAGCATTATTTTGAGAGGTCTAAATTTTTACTAGTGTTGACCTAAATAATGACCCTACCATCCCAGGTCTTCCATGTCTTCAGTTTTCTGAGAGTGCCTGTTTTCAAAGTGATGTAAACATAAAACATAAAACAGAAGTGAGAAGGACTGGGAAATGTTTAGTAGGTTGGTTTAAAAGGGTTTTAAAAACCTTATTTCAAAATGATAGCAAACATGCATGCATAGAACTGGAAATACCTGATGCCTAGATCACCACCAGCAGTGTCGGATTACCTAATAGCAAGGTAAGCATGGGCTTACTTGTACTTCCTTACTAATCTGTAGTGAACAGTTTGACATTTTTTTCACCACATGAAAGATTCTGCTTATAGCTATGGCTGGCATCTGTCTCTTTCCCAACCCCAGAGCACCTTCCCACAGAATCAAAGCCTCTCTTCAAATTCATCATCCCTGGCAGGAACGGTGTACCCAGTAAGCGAGATAAACATGGACTTACTTGTGCTTCCTTACCAATCTGTAGGGAACAATTTCACATGGGTTTCACCACATCTGTTCACCACAGATTAATAAGTAAGCACAAGTAAGCCAGTGCTTACCTTGCTTATTGGGTGATCTGCCCTTGATCCAGTAATTGCACAGTTGGCTTTCTGATGGGGCTACTTTCAGGATAAGCCATGTCACTCTTATGGGAAAAGCATCCAGGCAGTCCCCTGATTACAAATGAGTTCTGTTCATAAGTCTATCTTTAGGTCGAATTTGTACATAAGTCAAAACAGTAGGTACAGTTCATATCTAATGTTTATTAGTCAAATGTTTGTCTTAGTATATACACCCACTGCTTACTGATCGACTCTCTCATTACCTAATGCTTTCCATTTATGACGATAGTGAAAACTCTAACTGCCTATTCTGCACATTACTGATGTATGTCTGGCAGTAATGAATGCCAAGGTGTGAGATAAGAGTAATGCTGGCTGTGATGGTTAAGGTTATTTGTCTACTTGGCTGGACCATGATTCTTTAGTGGTTTAGGCAATTATGTAATGATGAAATTTGGCAGCTAAGAAATGATGAAATTTGGCAGTTAAGTAATGGTATAATTTGGCAGTTATATAATGATGTCGTCATCCTCCATTTTTTGCATAATGCTGATTTTTACATAATGACTTGGTGTTTGGAGCCTAACCATATCAGTAAGTGAAAAGTGGGTGTAGTAGATAGCATACTTTTCTATGCATAAAAAGCATTAAAGAAACACTTCCAGATACATCAATACATCTTTAATATTATAATAATACAAAAAAAAAAAAAAAACCAAACTCACTGCTGTTGAGTTGATTGTGACTCATAGCGACCCCTCCTTGCGTTTCTGAGGCAATATCTCTGTGGAAATAGATTGCCCAGTCTTCCTTCCAAGGAGTGGCTGATGGGTTTGAACTGCCAGCCTTCTAGTTACCAGTCAAATGCCTTAGGCACTGTGCCACCAGAGCTCCCAATATAATAAAACAGTTGTTGTTGTTGTTGTTGTTATGTGCCGTCGAGTCAAACCTGACTCATAGCGACCCCTCCTTGGGTTTCCGAGGCAGTATCACTACGGAAGTAGGATTGCCCAACCTTCCTTCCGAGGAGTGGCTGGTGGGTTTGAACCGCCAGCCGTCTGGTTAGCAGGCAAGTGTCTTAGCCACTATGCTACCAGAGCTCCCTATAAAACAGTAGTAATAATATAATAATAATAATGTTTTGATAAGTGTTGTAAAATGGTGCCTGTTTGTTATTACAAATCATTGTATGTACCTCGAATTTTTGATATAATAGACTTTACAAGGGTGAGGAGGTTGGTTTGAACTACGGGTTGGGGTTGTCCATAAGTTCAATGTTCATAACCCTGGGACTACCTATTCTCTGATTGGCTCCAGATCTCTTTCTTTCTCTCACAAACCTTCACACTTACACCCTCACATACAGACCTTCACACTCACACACCCTTTCACACACACTGACACACATATACTTGCACACTCACATACACTTAAACACATACACTCTCACACATACAAACACATGCATATGCACACACCAGAGCCTTCAAAGCTCGGGTTCTTAAGTGGAAACCTTTACTTCTGAGGTAAGAAGGAGAAGCCCATTTTGCCAAATGGCATCAACCTCAGCACCCAGCTACCTGTTTTGGGGAATGTATAAAGAGGAGGATGGGACACAGGCACATATCCCCACCCTAGGGACCGGAAGTGGGGTGCTGCTTGCAGTTACCTTTCTACTCCGTAAGCCCTGAAGCGGCTGCTCCCATATGTGCTGGTGGGTGCTTGGCTTAGGAACGTGGTTGAGTGAAAATCATGAACTTGGAAGATAAACACTATAACTTTGGCCGGGAGTCAAGTGAAATCTGCTCTGGGTCTTTGACAGGGAACACGGAGCAGCCATGGTTCATTGGTAGTCTTTGCAATGGCCTTCACTTCATTATTACAATATGGTGTCTTGTGTTTTATGGGTATTTGGTTTTCTTGGCTTTTTGTTTTCTGCGTTTAGAACATTGCTCCAGCTACATCTTACCTATTTATGGCAAATCACTGTGGCTGTATTTGTGATATCCACCAGCGTGATCTATTTCACTAGTAACTTGTTTACTGGGCTGTCTCTGAGTTTCCTTTTGATGAAAGTTTTAACAGAGAAGCAGCAGCAGATGGTTTCTTGGATTCATTTTTTTGTTTGACTGTTAGGCTTATTCTTTTTGTGTTTATATTTTGTGTCTAAATTCAGATCACAGTCCGGGTAACAACTCGAACCAGTTAAAAAAAATGCATGTATATATCTGCCCATCCAATGAGTGTTTGTAGGCCATCCACATGTCTGCTTGTGCTGTCTCTATGTGGGTTTACCTTTTACCTCATGCATTCATCTGGAATTTACTCAGTGCCAGACACAGAGGATTTAGGATGAGTAACTACCATCAGCAGGCCCATAGCATAGTGGAGAGACAGACATGTGAAAAGATAATTTGGTGGAATCACTATGCAACAACAGAGTCAATCATGTCTAAGTTATAGCTCAGCTCTGCCTGCTGTATGGGCTCAGTAAAGCAGAGGTTCTCAAACTTTGCTCTCAGTACCCTTTTAGTCCCAAAAATTTATTGAGGATGCCAAAGAGCTTTTATTTATATGAGTTATATCTATCAATATTTACTGGATTAGAAATTGAAACTGAATGTTTAAAAATATCTATTAATTAATTATAATTATTAATTATATCCGTTCATTTTAAAATAGCAATAATAAACCCGTAACATGTTAACATAAATAAAACATTTGTATAAGGAACTATATATTCTAAATTTAAAAAAATTGAAATGAGAACAATGGCACTATATTAAATTTTCACAAATTTCTTTAATGTCTGGCTTAATAGATGACGGCTCGATTCTCTTATCTCCTTCATTCATCTGCTGGGAAATGATGTTTGGTTGGTCTATCTGAAGAAAATAGGGCCGCCTCGTGCAGAAACGAAGGTGGAAAAAAGTGTTTTAATAGACTTTTCAGATAATTGTGGATATTCTTTGATACCACACCAAAACTTGACAAATGATAGTTTCTCAAGGGTTAATTGTATAATCTAAAACGATATCAATAAATTTTTCATACTATGTATACTCATGAGAGAATGAAAGTAACAGAAAGATGAATATTAGTGTTATTATGAAGTAGTTTTGACCTCATGGATTCTCTCAAAAGAGTATCCAAAACCAAAACCAAACCCGTGGCCGTCAACTTGATTCCAACTCATAGTGACCCTGTAGAACAGAGTAGAACTGCTCCAAAGGATTTCCTAGGCTTCAATCTTTACGGAAGCAGATTGCCACATCTTTCTCCCACAGAACAGCTAGTGGATT